CCCCCGACCCATGGGATAAACCATGCAGAGTAACAGCTGTGAGAGGAAGTGAGCAATAAATACTTGATGACATTGGCCGCAAAGGAGGCTCATTTAAAAAAAATTATCTTCTGCGAGACATTAAAGCTGTTTTAAGTATTGTCACTGCCACCGGGGGCAGTCCAGTCCAGCAGTGACTAACTGGTACATGGATCATTTTTTAAACAATAAACCCTCTCTTCACATGAAAAAGTCTGAACCAATTATGTACCCCCTTGCTAAAGCTCTGGGGTTAGAGATCAGTAATCAACATTTATTTCACACCTAGGCAGAATGATTAGAACTGAAGACTACTGCTCGGCGTCCTCCTCCGGCACCTCGATGCGGCGAGGCCCGTAGAGCAGCACGTAGGCTATGTGCCAGTCGCCGCCCCCGGAGAGCCGCAGAATGTCCTCAGGTGTCACAATGCTGACCTTGTCGTCATCAAACTTGATCCATTCATCTGCAAGACAGGCGAGGGCACTGTTAGCGACTCGGACACACACACTCTGGGTGCTCAGCAAGCCCCTTAGCTCTTCCCCTTAACCTCCTTTACAGCCAGCCACATTGTTTCTCTAACCACTGCTTTTTTGGTTGGTTATTGGGGTGGTTGGGCTTTTTTACCTTGTTTCCTTTTAACCCATGACACATAATGTCCCGAGGAACTGGATCTGCCTTGATGCGTTAAAACTGCCTGCAGGTCGTAATAGCCGCAATTATTAGAACCAGTATCTGAAAGGAGGGAAAAACAAGGTCAAGGAAGACTCGAAGTGCTGCAGGTGTGGGAAGAGCAGGGCCAGCGTGGCCGGCGCTGTGCAAAGCTCAGGGACAGCGCGAGGGGGAGGCGGCAGCACCTCGGCCACGGCCCTCGCAGTCCCCACGTCTACAGCCACAGAGGCAGTGCCCGAAGCGCGGCGCGGCCGCCCCCGCGCTGCCAGGCTGGGGCACAGCCCTAGGAACACCCTAAGGGAAGGGAGACCCGGGCTCGTGCAGACCGCGGGCGCTCAGCAGGGAGCTCCAGCCCCTGCCGTGGCTTCTCAGCCCTCCTGACTATCCCCCCTTCCCCGCGCGCTGGCCCCTGTTCCCTGGTGCCTCCAGGATGGTGCATCACACATCGGACAGAGCCCTGAGCTAAATCAATTTGGATAAACAGGATCTTCAAGAATATTTTTGCACAGTATCTTCATCTGTTTGGTTCTGCCAGGTTTTGAAGATGATTTTTCATCAGGGACAGAGTACCTCAAAACATCCCTCCCCCAAGGTCCACTCAAGCCAGGCGTATATGAACCTCCAACACTCACCATCGGGGAAAGAAAATGGTTCATATTTAACTTCTTTCTGTGCACCGTCACCTTTACTAGACTAGAAAGGAAAATACAACAAATTAACATGGAATAGGTTTAAAAAAGCTTTAGTACAACACCCTAATTACCAACTCCACATCCTCCTACAAACATTTCTAAGCCTGGTGCTCCTGTAGTTCTACTCAAAAGCAGTTCCAGGCACTACCAAAATCCCTGACGGGAACCAGATGGCTCTTTAAAGCAAAGCTGTAAGCAAGGTTTTATTCCTTGCTAGGAACTTCGCAGCAGTAGAAGTAGCAACAATAAAATACAGGAAGCAGATTACAAGTGCCAATATATTCTGTTTTAATACTGAATCAGAGGAGCTTCTGTCTAAAAGAGAGAACACCTAGTTGAAGCAGCCTAGAAATGGGGCAGGGAGAGGCCAGCAAACACGGGCTAAAACACTGAGGTTGGAGTTTCTTTCCTTTTTGCCTCAAGACAGGGCAGCAGCTGCATGGAAGCTCTGCCTGTCGGCTCCCTGGCCCAGACCCCCCATCAGCAGCCACGGAGGGGGCAGCACCTCCCCTTTCAGGCACGGGGCAGTGGCACCTTTGAGGAGAGATAGTGGGGTGATTCTGTGCCTAACCACCATGGGTGGGTGTCTGATGTCTGAACATACTTTGGAACAAGAAATGATGCATTTGTCTGATGATATTTTCATTTTTAAAGGGGAAAAACAAAAGCTGCCCAAGGTTAAGTTCTAATGTGCAGCCATCTCCTCATTCAGTCACAGCAAGAATAAATCCTGTATTTGTGAAACTATATGAAACGGATCTAAGTTCAATACTAAGAAGGTTGAGTGCTAATAAGAAAGCAATATGTAGGTAAATGAATTTATTTAATTTTGATTTCTGAATAAAAAATGTACAAATATGTATCTATATCTATACAGATGCAATATATAGAAAATTATAAGTAGAGGTATGTGTATATATTTAACACATATTTCAACATATGCAGAAGTGAACTATCCATACTTTTCTCCAGCTGAATTCTCAGGGCTGAAAACTTTCCATTTGTTCCCCAGGGCTTTGTGTCGCCCTAAGGCGGTGCCGAGGCTGCGGCCCCATGGTAAATCCACCAGGAACCTCCTCGGAGCCTCCCTGAACTTCAGGAGGGGAAAAAACGTATTTTAAGGAAGACAGTCAAGGGAGAGTCACTATTTTCAAGACCACCATTTTAAACACTGATTGAAGTTAGCTGGTATTTAAGTGTAGTCAATGTAAGCAAACTGGTTTCAGGTAGCTCAAATACATCAACATGTGAAACCAAACACCATTTCATACAAACATCCAATTCTGATTACTATCAGAATTAGATAGCAGAATTAGATATTACTAGCAGAAAAAGGCTTGTGCAGAGATCTTACAGGGAATGTGTAGATTAAAAGGCACAGGAAAAAGTATGTAATGTTGTGGCCCACGGTATCTGCACACAGATGTGCTTAAAAGAACTTTAGGTACATGACTCTTACTAGGAATAAAACATTAATCAAAACAGTCAAGAAATTCACAAGACTCACATTCTTTGGTTGCTGATTTACTTTTTTGTCTTCTAGGTCCTTGAATTTTGATCGATAAGAAACCATTTTTTCCTGAAGTTCGGGTGTACACAACTCGTACACATCCAACATAAGAGGAAATTTAACATCCTGGGAAGAAAGAAGCATGAAGGTTATTAGGGTGGTTGGTATTTCACATTAAAGCACTCTTCCCCTGAAAGGCACATCACCAAGCGCTATTAAGTGCAACTAAATCATATTTATGAGAACCCCATCTACCCAAGAGCATCAAGTAACACTTACTGACAGTACTTAACTAAGGGCTACAGCCTTTTTACAGAGGAATATCTAACTTGGGGTAAACAGAAACCATCTTAAATGGCTACATTTAACATAAACAGTTCTTTGTGTATCTGACATACTTTCATACCAGGTAAATACTTACACACAGCTAAGGGAAAAAAATTCAGGTGGAATGACTGTATCCATGCAAAATGCCAATACACGCTACTTGAACAGTCTTCTAAAATAGCTAAAATGCTTCAACTCGATCCTCTTGTTTGGAAAGACCCGACATCTTCCATCATGATCCTCTCGGGGTGGCCCACAAGGTGGCCAGCCTGAAAGGAGGCTTTAAAAACTGAAAACACCTGCAACTGCTTCTTGCATTTCCAGTCATGAAACAGGACAATTAACTCGTACAGAAAGTGTTTATTAGGATAAACATTTTCTCATCAACTGCAGAGCACAGTTTGGGGAGTGAAAACAAGTTCTGCTCTTTAATTAAATAATCTCCTCTGAAACACTGGTGAAAAAGGATCCTACCAGCACTGGAGCAACTTAATTTCTCTCTACCAAAAGAAACCCCTCAGAGTCTGTTCTGGTACCACAGCTGGTAACAAGGCTGGTTTGTAGTCAAGCAAAGAAGCTCTACTCTTAATGTTCCTTAAGAGTAATATAAAGGCGAACACTAAAGTGCAGGTAACCTGCAAGTACTGATCATGTAGCTCTAACAGATAAAAAAAAGATAGCAAAGCACAAAGAAAGATTAAATTTTTAACAGTTTAGGATGGGAAAGTGTTACTCACCTTAAGAACTTTGGCATTCACAGATTCTTTCTCTTTGTAAAAAAATCTAACCATCTGAATAGTCAGATACGCCGGCAAGCGACTAATCTTAGACTATAAACAAAAAAAGGCATAGAAAATGCTGTTACTTCAGATTTTCACAGATCATTTATACCTTAGACACTGGTCATGCTGAACTAGAGGCTAATCTTGGGGTATATTTATATTCAAACATACAAGAATACAACAGCTCCCATCCTGAAACTCTGCACAGTGACATGTTGCAAGAAATCAACTTCAAGTATCCAATTACTTGATACTGGATACCCAGATGCTTTACAAATGTAAGTCACAGGCTGTTCCCACATTAACTTGGGGCTTTGAGACACAAAACCGACAGCAGTGAAAAGAAACATAAAAACAGCAGCAACACCACTCACAGATTTGATATAGAGTGCATTTCTCTGCAAGGTTGGAGACAGTTTGGTGATCTCCTCTTGAAGACGCTATAAATAAATAAAGACTTGCTGAATTATAAAGTACTGTGCTTAAAGAAAAGCACAGCATGGCTAAACAAACCACAATCTCACGTCCTGTTCTGCCAGTCTATTCTACCTGTTGCCTCCAGGCACTGCATCACACAGAACTTTGGAATTCCTTGGCAGAAAGACCACGCATGTTTGTTCGGCTCCACGATCCCTAACTCCCCTAACAGAGTTTCTCTCTGCAAGAAATCTTATTCTGTCACAAATTTGCTGCACTTTGCAAATGAAATACCTTTAGTTACACGTCACAAAAATCTAAATTTTCTTGCAACAGCAATATTTGCACATTTCTCAACTCTCATTCTTTCAGCTGGTCTTTGAAAAAGGAGCCAGATCAACAAACAAGCAGCTAATGGTCATATTCTGCTGACAAACTCCAAGGACCATTCCAAACTCCGGGCAAGACTGGCCTGGATGTTACTGCTGTGACCCTCTCTCACTACTCACATTGCAGCACTTGAATTCTGGAAGACCCTTCCAGACCTGGAAGACAGGTGCCTTTTTCTCCCTCGTGGTTACAGTTTGCTGGAGTTACCTATTCTATCTCGCTTTTCCTTCGATATTCTGTTACTAAGAACAGATGGGAGGCTTATCCAAGAGCCACAGAAGCTGCCCCGATCCTGTATCAATGAGCACACTGCTTCCACCTCTACTCTAGGACTAATACTCCAATTACTGCTACAAGTTCCTTGCTACCTCAGATGCTTCAGAAAACATGAAAACTAAGAAATGCAAAAACAAAGAAACCCCAGAGCCCCACAGACTACTTTAAGAACTCCTATTTAGTCACTATAAAGATAATGATGTATCCTGGAAATATTAATACACACACCAAAAATGCAAAATTAAATTTAAGTTTCATTTCATCACCTGTATTTCTTAGAAACTTAGCAATGAAAATGCCACCCTATTGTAAAACTAACTTTTGGGCTCTTTTTGGAACTAACTTCAGCATGCTTGAATCATAGGACTGCTACAATCTGCAGTCCTACTGAACAAGCAGATTCTGGTAAAATTAAAACTTCAGTAAACTGGCTTGCAGTGGGATAACTGCATGACAGGGAAGACCCTGTCAGGGTCCAACGGAAAAAGAAAATTCTGTTATTTTTTTTTCCACTATTCATTTTCATTTCATTTCATCTTCTCTGCAACACATGGAAAAACAAACAAACAAACAAACACACACACACAAAAGGTATGGGCATCTGTTTTCCAAGCTTTCTATTCCAAGCGTTCTATTCCAGTTCAAAGATGGGAAAAACCAGGTAATTTAGAATATCAATTAAATAAATAGTATTAATTAAACAAAAATATATTGTAACGACTTACCAATTTTAGTCCTGTAAACAGATACTTCACTTCTTGATTGATAAAACAACTAAGCTGTAGCTGATTCTCCTTTCCTTTAGTTACCTCCTCCTCTTCAGCTTCTGTACATTTCATGCTTCCCAAAATTAAGGAAAACCATCATGCCTGCACAGCCTGCCCATTTTTCATCTTTCCACAGGGCACTGTGGAAGCTAACAGGCTGCCAGCACCAACCCTTAGGCAACACCTGCAATATGACACTTGGCTGTTTATAACCGCACTAGTGCTCTAGGCCTGCTGCTGCTGCCTAGACTTCCCATTTCTTCAGACCACATACATCCTCCCCACTTCATCCTCACCTCTCCTCTTCTCTCCTGTTTCAGGATTGACAAACACCACAACACAGTTGCCTCACCGTTACTACTACCCTTTGAGATACACTCCCTCACCTCAGGAGCTGACTCCTTGTTTGGAAAGGGTGAAGCTCACAGTGTAATTCTCTCTGAAAAGCGGCAGTCAGCTTAACAATGACTAGGATTTGGGGGTGGAAGAAGGGAGACTGAATAATGCTTGAGATGAGAGAAGTGTGCCACAGGGTCATCCAGTGTGTCTTCTCTTCAAAATAAATAAATAAATAAATAATCACTACTTGAAAGCTGTCGGCTGAATTCATTCCTTACGCACCCAACCGCATGCAGCTATTTTATTAAGAACTCAGTCTTTTATTGTGCCACCCTTCATCCACGTTCTGGCAAGTTGCTAAGAGGGTCAGCAGCACTTCCTTAACCAGCTATTTGGGAAGACAGGTCCTTTTATTTGGATAAGCTAAAAACTGCCTCAGGATCCCTTAAGCTGATAACTGCAAATCTTCTCTGGGGAGGAAACCTGACACAAACTCAGTATTTTTCATGCTGTAAATATCCATTACCATTCTTCCTCCCTGAATCTTCCTCTCTCAAAGTATACCTGATCTTAATCACAACCCTGGTGTACCCCTGCAGTACATCATCTCCCCTCTCCCCTGACAGGCCCCTTTATTTTCTATGCTCTTTTGGATGATGCTTTTCATCCTCCTGGCGCTCAGCTCCTAAAGTACCAAATCATTACCCTTCTATCCTGCCTTAGTCGTTAGGATACGCTGTTTCAAATTCAATGCTGAAGAACTGATCAATCAAGCTCTTCTTCTTAGAAGCTGCTGCTGTAGCTCCAGAGTCTGTCTGTAAAACAAATTCTCTTATACTGTAACTTTAAATAGCATTTAAGAACAGTCATCTTTACACACAAAAAAAGGACTTATTTTAATTCTTAAAATTCTTTAGTTCCTCTAAAAGTTAAATCTTTCACCTTTATATACTTAATTTTCTCCTAGTTAATTTCCCCACATAGTGGGGGTTTTAAAGCAATGCATTTACAGCACTGCTCTATAGTCACCTCAAAGCATATTAGCAAATGAGATTCAGTCTGGTAAAGTCTTGGAAAAACTCAAAAGGAATTTCTCAGTAGGCCCATTATGTTAGGTCTCTGTTTAAAACAGGGCTCACATAGCTAGGAATGCTGTAGCACGAGGATGCTTTTTCAGAAACAAGTTCTGCTGTGCTGAATTTGCAGGTTATCGGAGCCAACTACTGCATGTTCAGAGTCACTACTACCACGGTCCAAAATATGAGAAGGTGACAAGTCCAGAGACACAGCCTGCTGTGGCACATTCCCAAGCCTAGCTGATGCAGTAGAGAGAATACTGCACCATAGGAGGCAATTTCACTTACTGGACTATAGAGACCGTGTAACTATTTCACAAAACTGACTACTGTAACCAGAATATGGGTGATTCCTGAGTATGGTGTTGTGAATCTTAAACCTGGCTAGAGTAAGTCTACAATTACCTCCATAACTGTATCACCTTCTATACCTTCCAGCTTCTGCTGTAGTACCCTCATCATCTGCACCCAGCACTCATTGGCATCCTGGCAAGGGAAAAGAACATCAATAAGTAGTATTGAAAACATTAATGTTCATATTGTAAAACCAATCATAAATGCAAGGATTTCTCAATTAAGAATTCCTTCCAACACACATTTTTAAAGCTGGCACTTCATTTTTTCTATACAGTACAAAAGCAAACACATTTCAGGGATAAAAGGAATTATTTACTTAAACAAGGGGAAGAAATTCTTAACATAATCTTGCTCTCACTTTCCAACATAACATTTTCAATGATTTCATACTTTTTTTTCAAAACATAAACTAAGTTAGAAATCTTTACCTGTTGAAGGTACTGGCCTTGATCTCCTTTCTCTGCAAACTGGGGGAAGGCCATATGTAAAAACTGCAGGAGAATGATAGGTGGGATACTGGAGGAAGTTTTATCCATGGAATCAAACAAGTCTCTAAGAGCTTAAAGAAAAAGTAAGTGAATGTTTTGAGAAGTGGAAAAGTAATTAAAACATAGCAGGAAGTGTTTTTTTTTTTTTTTTTAATTGTAAGATGGCAGCAACATTCCAACATTGAACATTTAACAGTGTCAAATGCGATCTTTTCCCAAAAGGGCTAAGTTTGCACCTAAAATGTCATCTGTGAACATGACTTTGCAAGCGTAAAGATGACAATTTACGATGACAAGGCTGCCACATGGTGCCTTGTCTTTCCCGGCTGCTAACAAAAATAAATAAATAAAAATATTACGGTCTTATGATTTCATTTCAAACATATCTGAAGAACAATACTGTTACAACAGGACTACACCTACAGAAACCAGAATGCATTCACAATGCATACTCTAGAGCAGCTTAAGTTTCACCTATTGCTGGAAAAAAAAATCTTTTGTTTTTCCCAACAGAAGTCCCTAGCCAACACTCATGCTCAGTTTAACACCCAGGAACACAAGCATGTGCACGCACATGTGCAGGCAGTTCAAGTCCACAAATGCTCCTGGCTGTGTGACAATGCACGTGCCTTTCTGTCTGGTCCCAGGCACACTGCTACATGTGTCTTTTCTACTCACATGACAGCGTTTTACAGCCACAAACCACTTCTGAGACATCTGTTAACCCTCACAACAACCCTGTGAGGTGAGCAATGGTCTGCACAGTCACTGATTTGCAAGTGGAGACACTAATGAACGAAACTCTAACTAGTCAATACAGGGAAGATCGCAAGGAAACAAGGTCAGTTCCTTCCTCTCCTCATGAGACATCTTCAACACTAAAGAGGGACAACGCTTAACACAGCAAGTAAAAAACTGCTGTAAGTGTCATGCAGGAGTTCTTGATCAGCTCAGCACCAAAGGGTTAAGAATCTCAGTTCTTAAGACATTAGGACTCCTAAGACGCAGAGCTGCCACCTTAACAAGAATATGGGGGACACAAAATAAAGGCAGTAAAAAGGGGAGGGTGGGCACGGTTGTATAGAGTAACCATTGAACTTACCACCCCAAAACTCGATCAGCAGGCATACCCACAAACTGGACCTTTCCTTCCTTATATTGTTTTGTTTTTCCTTAAATGGACTGGTAGAAATCCCAGAGTCCTGGCCCAGCATCTTAGTGGGGCAATGAAATAGAGTAAAAAAAAGAAAAAGTGGACAAGTAGCACCCTTATTCAAGTGTAGGGGATCTAACTAGAGTCCTAGTTAGTGCTTGGAAACACATGAACTCCCACATTGTGGGCACCTAGATCACCACAACAAAGAGCAACTTTCCTGGTGAAGATACAACTTCCCTTGGTATGCATGAAATCGGATTCCTTAGGGTAAAGGCTTAGACTAGTGATAAAGCATCAGCTGTCATCTTAATAACGCTCAGCCAGATAAAATATATTAAAAAAAAAATCAGTGCTTATGTATCCAGGAGCATGGTGTTAGCTCATCACTAAGTGAAATAAAGAACTGCTTGCTAAAATACTTCTAAATAAAACAAACCTATCGAGGAATGGAGGAGCCTGCTTTAGAAGGTTCCAACTCCTTTATGCCTACACACAAAACAGAGATGTGGATGTAAAATGTTTGTATCCAAAACACACCCAAATATCATCTCTCCTAGCATGCAGCTAGGAAGCAGGTAGAGAAGTGTCCTCACAGCCATGGTCAGGCTAACCTCTAACACCATTAGTAACAGAGTAAAGCAAGTCCTCCAGTGCTAGAGCATCTGAAATCCCTAAGACAGACGCACTAAAAATATATATAGAAATAGCATCGACTAAAACTTTCATCTCCAATTAGTAGGAAATTATACACAGTCTAAAAACCCTCCACACCAACCTGCAGTAATGTACTGAGCAGAGGCCATTTCTCCTGAAGCTCTTAAGGCACCACCATACCTAAAAGAGATGAAAAACAATTCCCAGGCAATTAAACTAAATCATGTTTATAAGCCATAAAGAAAAGAGGCAGCCAGAATAAAAACAAAACAAAGTACCAGAATAAACCAATCACCAAGTAACTGAAGTCAACATTTGCTCCTACTCACACCAAAATATCAGTTCTTCCACAAATACTGTGTGGAAACCAAGAAAAACTACTTTTTCTTGAGACAATAAATAACATACAAACCGAGAAGCCTGGGTTGGGATGCATCCCTGATGCTTTCCAACCCGCTTGCGCCAAACATACAACCTATTCAAAAAAAAAAAAAAAAGTCATGGGAAAAAAAAAAGGGGGGCAAAAAAAGCTACTCCATTTCTGAAATATCTGCCACAAGCTCTTCAAAGAGACAGAGAAAATATTTTCAAGTAAAGACTGTGGGCAAAATACGTAGAAATAGAAGGTAGCTCTCCACTCACCTTAGCAGAAGCAAAACAGAGAGAGAGAGGTGAGATTTCCCACACATAAAAAGTGCACGAGCCCACTCATATTACCAGATCTCACCACTCCTTCCCAAATGGTTTCTTTATTTGACACCTGCCTGAGGAACAAGTGACTTTCTCAAAGCCTTCAAGCAAGAGGAGGATCTCAAGTCTTCTTTAATTTCAGACTGAATGCAAAACATTTTTTCCAGTTTACTGAATTCAATTTATTCTGTTTATGGAAAGAGGGTGAGCAGAAAACTCTCCCCCATCTCATGCAATCAAAACATTAATACCCCTGGAGAGAGTAGCAGAGCAGCTGAAGAGAAATAAAAATAATGGTACACTTCCCCATTTCAATCCCTGCATTTGTCTCTCACTGCATTCCTCTAACGCACTGCAATGGGTTAAAACCCACTGCGATTCTCTCCACTCTCTCAATTTGGCCATTGGGCCAAATAAAGGCCCAATCCTGTATTGTAATGTTCCAGTTTCATAGGGTACATTTTGGCATTTGGCACGTTCATAAAACAAGTCTGTAAAATACCTTAATTCAGAGCAAAAAGTTGAGAGCTCTACAAGTGGAATTACACAGATTTTCCTAAAATGACAACACTGAAAAACAAAAGAAGAGCTTTAAAATACAAAGCTTCAGTACTCTACAAAATTATTCTCTATGCTGATAAACCTGTCCTGGAAGAATAATCAAGGTTCACTTGTTAAAAGAAAGAAGAAAAACTTTTATATACTTTAGTAACTAGTATTCATAATATTTAGAATATCCAGGCATCAGCAAAGCAGGCCAGATGCCTAGATGAGTCCATGAGTAATGCCTGCAGTGCTTCACCTAGTCCTCACAATTTTTAAAACTGGTGCTTTTCTCATTATGCTTCACTTGGAGAACAAGTTTAGGGTCATACTCTCATGTTTTTTTTTTTTCTTTTTCCTCTGATCTTTTTACATTTATCACAGATTTCTCATGGTTTGCTCTCTTAAAAAAAAAAAAAAAATACCTTTTGTTCCAGAATAGAAGAAAAAAAAAAATCAGAGAAGTTATTCTATGACCAGACCTAATTAAACAGAGCGTAATCAGTGTGTCTTCTATTCCATCCACATCCATAGGACCTGCAGCTTCTTCCAGTTGTCTGCCACAGAAACACCTATGGCTCTATCCCACAGATTCCTTCCCTGTCTCCAACTATCAGATGCCCAATCACCTTAGAATTTCATAGCCAAAAATGTGTCACGCAAAAGAGCTATGAAAAAATAAAATCTTTAAAGGAATGGCAGTCTCATACAGTACTTTCTACAGGAAGACCTACAAGATGATGCCAGTAAACAGGGTTAAGAGCTCAGCAGCTTAAGTATTTTAAACAAGTCTTGATAGGAATTCTTAGACTAGGTGAAACTACATCTCTCTACTAAAAATCTAGTTCTAAAAATATACATCATCTTCAGCAAAAAAAGACTGTCACAGCCATAGGATGAACTTTGGTAGAGTGTTACATTAATCTGCAATAGATATATTAGAGTGCTACATGAAACAGTAACAGTAGAGAGATGACTACCACACAAAATGTCTATTTCATAAGCTAAAGAAAAACTTATAATTGTATTTTTAAATGGAATCATACCTTTTAAGGGCCTCTTTCACTTCTGGCACAGAGCGGATACACTGAACCGTAGCATTCATGTAGCAAGTGTTGCCAAGGTTTGTCAATCCACATGGCAATTCCATCTACACGAAAAAAAAAAAATACAAGGGGACTTGAAGGTCAGAGATGTGCAACCATTTTTGTTTAAGTACCATAATTTGACATCAGTCTATCAGAAAAGAAATGATCCAAGATGCCCAAAACCTGGCGTATGCCATCAAACTTTATTTTATGAAGTTTTCCAGATCTATTTTGTGATTGTACTGGTCTATTCCTGTGATTGCACTGGTCTATTTAGAAGCACTCAGTGCTTCTAAAGGACATTCAGGAATGCTTTGTATTATTTCTGGGCATGTTTAGCTTAATGAGCATATTCCTCAAGCAGGCAGTCATTCAGAAAGTTCAATCATAATTTCATTCAAGTTTTGACCTTAAGATGAAGCTTTATGTGAAATTTCCACATGAATACATTTGTATGCAATGTTGCTGTTTTAATTAAAATCTGTTTTCAGAAGAACTCTGAATGGGATGAAGTTCACAGTTAGAAACAAAAAGCATTGTTTAAACTTCTCTCAAAAGTCAGCAACAGATTCATCTTATCTTTCTTGAACAGCTTGTGAAATGCTGAAATTCTGACCAGTGTGAAGGCCAAATAACAATTATAATAACCGACTTCAGAAACAAATATAATTCATAATAGCACTTTTTTTTTTTTGTAAAAAAAGCCCCATATTTGAGCACTTGTCAGTTACATAAAAAATAATGAAACTGAAGCAAGACATCATACCAAAATCACTGAATTATTTTACAAAGGGAGAACTAATTTAGCTGTGCACCCCAGTTTTAATGCATATATACAATATAGGTACTTAAATTCCAACATATGGAAAGTTGGAACTAGAAAGAAATGCATTGCGACTTTTCAAAAGGGGATCTGACACTGAATTATCTTCTGCGTTTGCCTCACAGTTAACTCAGTCTACATAAAGGCTCATCTCAAAAGACATGACTATCCTCACCTGCTGCTGCCATAAAAGTATTAAATACTGAAGCAAATAACCAGTCCTAACCTACAGATCCATTTTCATACAAATATGTGTAAAAATTATTACTTTGCAAGCTCAATAAAAAGAGACAAAAATAGAAAGTCAGCCACCCAAGCTGGTCATAGTTTCCCTCTACAGCTACAGATGAGCCAGGAAACAATTTGGCTCATCTAAGACTCCCTATTCAGGAAGAGTTCGGGACATTAATAGAAAGGCAGGGCAAGAAAAAGTTAGTCTTTGAAAGCATTAGCAATGCCATTTTTATTTTAGACAAGTTACTGTCTGCTTTAAAAAAATAATAATATTAGTTATACGAGTCGTAAGTTAAATTCCAGACTTGTCATCACTGCTTGCAAGTGGGTCTTTGGTGTAAATCTGTTTTTGTTTGAGAAATTCTAAAAGTTAAAACAAACATTACTTTAAAATCCACTCTCAAGCAAATACAAATATTAATAAGTATTTAAAATCTGACATTATTCCAAGATTTACAAGAGACCTAAGTTTCAAACATGCTTACAGCTGAAGCCAATTGCTCCTCTGTCATGTCTTCTACAAAGACAGGTCGGGAAACTGGCTCTTCTGGAAGTGCATCTGCAGAACCCATCATTAATAAAGTCATCCCCTGGAAACACAGTCAAAAGAGTGGTTATTATATAAGGATAATTGTTTCCTTAAAAATAAACAAACAGATCTATAACACAGTACAGGTATTTCCCCAAAGATGGGCAAGAGCTTTTTCTTAAGTTCACAGAATTGATACTGCAATGCTATTTCTTAAGACTATACCATTCTAAAAAACAAAAAAGGAAGAGCCAGTCCATCAATATGTCTTTAAAAAAATGCCTATTATCTTTGTTAGACACTTCAGCTGATTCTGGTCAGCTTGCCACTGGCTGACAATTCAGCATTTCCAATCAGGAATCATTTAACAATCACAAATATCCTCTTCCAAAATTTTCAGGCAAGCTTCCTTCCTGATGGACCATTAGGGATCAACTGGCTTAGAGATTTCAGTGCACACACTTTGCCTTCCCATTTAAAAGATACCTTAGAACCAAAGATAACTTAGCAGTTATCTTCCAATTTAAAAAGAAAGTTGCAAAGTTTGAGAAGTTTCCAATCATCAAATTCAGAATTCTCTGCATAACAAAAAAAAACCCTCATCTTTGATTAAAGATGTAGGCAAATGTTTCACATGAATGCTGTAGTACTGCAGCTCTGAGTTTGGAATGTCTTTTTCACTGAAAAAGCAAGTGGGAAAGGGAAGTGTCATCCTTTGGTCTAGCAAGTTCTGAGGACATGAAACTAAACAAAAAATAACTACACAAATTAACCAAAACGGTCAAGCTGGTTTAGGCACAAGGACAAGAAAACATTCAGGAATAAATAAATAACATCATGTTATCATGCTTCCTCTACTAGCAAATTTCCTCCTCCAATAGAAAGGAGTTTGTCGGCATTCAACAGGAATGCTTCCACATGGCTTCCCCATCAAAGGGGAAGAAAATACCTGCTGATCTTTGAAAATACTAAGGAAAAGGGACCATCTGATAATAGAACGGGAACTGCTTTGAAAGTGCAATTAAATCCCCTAAAGTTGCATAAAACATTATTAAGACGATAAAGGCAGCAACTAGCATTACGGTATGCAGGCAAGGACAGCAATATCATGTACTGGGGTTTCTGCAGAATGACTTTGCTACAAGAGCTGCCATTTATTGCTACTGGCTGCTAAGAGATGCTGAGGATCTAGCTACAAAGGTAAGAGCCATGCAACCTAGTTCGATTTGCTCTAATAAAGAACTGAAGCGAAACCTGTACCAGAGTTACGAGATTCCTACAGAAACAGAAACGATCAAAAGAAAAAGAAAACAAAAAACAAAGAGGTTCTTTGTGGTTCCCAGTTATGATACTACAAAGGCAACAAACACAAATGCGTTAATTTCTTTTACCTTTTGGAACTATTCAGGGGTATGAATAAACAATTATCACTAATGACACTGTTTAGACAAATCTATTTAACATGGAAGGAGAAGTGCAATGGACTACAGAGAGAGAGCAAATTCACAAGCTCTCAGTAACATCTCTAGCTATTATGGTCACGGAGAGACTGCATAGATGAACTGTTTTAAACAAGCACAACACTTCAGTAAGAAAAATAAACTCAAAAAAAATTCAGGAAGATGTTGCTGACTTCATATAAATGCCTAGGTATGACCTCCACGCAGTAAAATTATTTTTCATCAAGGTCTTGACTTTTAAAACTTAACTACCAACTCAAACAGGAACAGCAAAAAAGTTAATATCCTCCTTAAAATCCCCAAATAAAAATCAAACTAGTAAAACTTAATTATTCCACAAAACTTACATTCTTTATTTTTATGTTCCCCCAGTCATCATCCTATATTTGAAGTGAAATAAAAGACAAGTTAGTTTTCTTACAGCAAAAAGCAAATGAGTGTTTTCATTAATATTGATTACATATTTTTAAATATACAATCATGTTCCAAAAAAGACTCTGCAATATTGAATTATGAACATATCATGAAGTTCTGTCTGACAAACGGACCCATGTCACCTTTCCAAGAAGGTTCTCCACTTATTAACATTGCTTAGACATAAACAACTTTTTTCCAAAGAAAAGTTGTCCTTATTCCATTGCACTGAGATATATCTCCAGCAAAGAAATGCCAGAGAACTGTCGTGTCTGCTTTGTTTTCACTGGCCTGCAACACACGAGCTTTTTTTTAAATATGACATTAAAAAAAGTTGCAGTCAGATTCTGAACATTAAAAACCAAACAGTACAGGAACACCAAATGGAGTGAAGTTTGGTACAAAATAGTAAAAAACAGTTTTAAAATAGAACTCTGCATCTCCCAATCACCTATTAACAGACTTTCACCAGTGCTTTCTAAAGGCAAGCACTAGTTCATACAGAATTCTTTCTGTAGGCAGTTCAATACATACCATTAAACATCACCTAGAGAAACATTCTGACTTACTGTTACCGTTAGTTATAATTGTAACAGAGTTGGAAATAGTAACCACATGTGAGTATCTACCTTCAGAGTTCCTCCTTTAAGCATAACCTTCTGTCTAGCGGGCTGAACTCCAGTCAGTGCAAACAACTGTGCTTTGAAGACCATCGGAGGTTCGTCAGTGTTAAGCTCCACGCCATCAAATTTCTCTTTTCCCCATTTAACGTTAACTGCAAACAAAGTAGTTTGAAACTAGATTATTTCCTAACATATAAAAATGTAAATTCTATGAGCAAATTAGTACTTTAAATTCTGGATTTTATCCCATTCAATTTTCCATTCTAAAACTTGTCGATGATCAAGTTAAGTTGCACCTTTATGGTAAAGTGTCTTGGCCATCAGAATATAATATTCCTAAAGCAATGCATATACCAAAAAAACAAAAAAACACTTTGTAAGCAACAAATGCATAAAACAGGAGCAGATATTCTCGAAACTAATCTTCATAACAGCAGTTAGAAAATTTCCTTTCACAAACTCTTGGCACTGCTAATTGCAACCTAATTTCTGAAGCAAACTGAGCTGCATGTTTTCAGTTAAGTTTTCCAGAGCATTTCCATTCCGCTTCAATGACAAACCATGTTCCTTAAATGCAAAGTTACTGTTTGACATCTGTAGTTTTGGCTACTGGTATTATTTACATGAACGTATACGAGATGCTATCCATGAATCAAGGACCCATAAAATTAGATACCTTCTGCCTTCTCTTAATGAAACATTAACTTTACAGGCCCCTTACAAACCGACCGTTGTTACATTCTTCAGTTTTCATGCTAGTCACACTGAGAATGTTGCACATTAAAGTCACATAAAAACAAGGACAATCACCTGCCACAGGCTTCAGCTCCCAAAGCCCTTTCTCCCTTTAAGGGCGCAGGGCTGGAATCAGGAGCTCAAACAAAATTTGCAAGTTGCATCACCAGCAGAAACGTTGGGCAGAATGACACAGTGACATATTGACTTTGATAAAGCTGTTATTAACCAACAGCAGGCAAAAATGTCTAGGAAAAACAGCATGTATTTTGATGGAATCATTTGCAAGTCTTCGACCTTTTCCAACTGTGCTCATATGCCCAAAAGGTCACGTTAGCCAGCTGCAGCTTTGCTGAAAAACTGCAACAAATACTCAGCCCAAATTCATTATAAATGGTGGAAATATCATGCTTGAAAAAGCCACATGCTTTCTCTTGCCTATACTTCTGTTTTCGGTAAATCTACTGGGGCACTACACAGATTTTTTTTTCCCCATTATAAATTATTTTAAGCTGTGATTTAAAAAAAAAGACCAGAAAGATTAAGATTTCAGGTGTACACACCACTTGGGAAGGGGAATAAGAAACAATAACCAAGATTTAGTCTACATTATTAGCTGGCGCAACAGCTGAAACTACTTCAGTATCAGAAAGTCCCTTTGATTTTCCTGATCTTTTGATTTTTAAATGTATTTATCACTTTGCACTTTCAATTCCCATTTCCTTGGCACGCAACCCACTGGGCTCCTGAGCAAGCCCGCTGCACACACTTGAGGTCTAGCATTTTGGAACTGTCATCCACCATCACTAAACTATACTTGCTGGAGAGTAAGTGGGTTTTACCCTATACCACCACTGTTGCAGAAATGATACGAGATGAGTGGGAATGCCTTCGTTTCAGAAATCACCATGAGTTTCCAAAATAAAAGAGAGAACGGAGTTATTCACAGAATCACAGAACGGTTAAGATCGGAAAGGACCTCTAAAAATCATCTAGTCCAACCTGCTCCAGCAGGGACACCTAGAGCACATGGCACAGGGTGGCATCCAGGTGGGTTTGGAAGATCTCCAGAGAAGGAGACTCCACAACCTCTCTGGGCAGCCTGTGCCAGGGCTCTGTCAGCCTCACAGTCAAGAAGTTCTTCCTCACGCGGAGATTAAATTTCCTATGTTTCAACTTACACCCACTACCCCTTACCAAAAACAGTGGGAAGGAAAAAACAGCCTTGGCTGCGCTTGACACAGGGAGGGAAAGCGCAGCTGACGCAGACGCGCTAAAGGCTGGGAAAGGGCTGTTTCACCAGCATCCAGGCCCCGGTTTGCCAGACACGACCCGGAAGGCCGCGCGCGAGGGGCCCGAGGGAGCGCGGACGCCTCCTCGCTCCGCTCCTCGC